TCACACATACATACATGCATGGTTTGCATGAAAAAATCACGCGATGCGCTGATATCCGCTGTTGCTACTTCATTTTTCAAGCGCATTGTTGTTGTTATTTTGCTCATTTTGCCTTTTATGCAAGTACTTATGTATGTATATATACTATACATGCTTGAGTTTGTAGCTTTTTCTGCTTTGCAAGGTCCTTGCTACATTCTCAACATAATTATGAAAAATTATGCGATGTGGTGCAATAAAAAAGTGTTGAAAAAATTCAAAAACAAAAAGCACAAAGGCAGCCTTGTAATTTATTGTAAGCTGCTACAAAAACAACAACAACCCAGAAAGCGCCAAGTGCCTCTGGGCGCCGAAGAAACGGAAGCGCGGCAAGCTTCCTTAATGACAAGAACAGCAAAAAAAAAATGCAGCGAGGCAAAAAAAAAGTTTGAAGGCGGACAACAACAATAAGAATAACAAAAATACCGAAAATGGCAATTGTAATGCGCAAATAAATGGAAGAGAAAATACTTTATTACAATTATTCCGATTTTTTTACATTTTTATACAATTTTTTATTGTTGTTGTTGTACGAAGCGTGAAATTTATTGTTTCACAAAAGTTCCTCATTTGCGCCTGTTTGGCATTTTATTTGGTTGCCATTTTTTTTACACTTTGCGTTACTTGTTTTTGTTGTTGCTTTTTGGCGGCCACGCGGGCGTTTGCTAGGCAAAAGTTTTTGGCATGATTGTCAGCACGTTGTTTTATAATTACCCTAATTATGATTATTAATTGCACCGTTGTTTATTTGACGCTATTCTGGCGCTTTCGGCAACTCAACTGAAAACAATAGTTTTGGGGTGAAAACCGAAAAAAATCACAAAAAAAAATATCTCAAGAAATTAAAAAAAAAATATTTTGATATAAAAATGGCAAATAAAATAAAAATTATATGAAAAGTTAAGTGAAATAAAAAATAATTTCGCTTGTGGCAGTTAATGTTGCACATTTTGAAGTTCAGCGACGCCGTTGAGGCGCTGTGAAACTTTTATTGTTTCTATTTTTTAGTATGGTACAAATATTTTTAAATTGAGCAGAGTAAGAGAGAGAGAGAGAGCGTTCCGAAGTGAAATTTGCAAGATTTTGTAGAAAAAAACGTATGTTAAGTTTTGTGGTAAGTTCTATAACCTTTAACGATATTTTTGTAATAAGTTCATAAACTCGTGTTTAGGGTTTTGTGTTTAAAAAAGTCAAGTGTAGTGTTTTTATTGGAGCGTTTAAGAATCTCTTTGTATAGTCTTATTTTTTTACAATTGTTTAATAAACCATTTGTTTCAGCTGATCATTGATGAGAGTCAGATCTTCTAACAATTAAGCTAGATTTTTCCAATTTGCGATGAAATTTGCCTTGTTATATAGGGTTGTATCTTCAACGTCTTAAGAAAGTTACTTTTTGTTTTTTGTTATTTTTTTATTTAATTATTATTACCATAATTTTTTTTTGTTAAACTCTGTGCTTGTGAAATGTTTGAAAATCTTAACTCTGAAACTAACAAAACAAACTTGAGTCTTTAGCATAAACTCATATTTTGTATATAAAAATTTTTCACAAACTTGAATTTTCACAGTAAACTCTCTATTCGTGAGTAGTGTTTAATGACTAACTCTAAAATTATCAAAATAGAGTTTAATGCTTAACACTAAAATTGGTCATAAACTCGAACTTTTAGAATAAACTGTAAAATTATCAAAATAAACTGGAGTGTTTGGCATAAACTAAAATTGTATAAGTAGAGTTTAACGCTTAACTCTAAGAACATAAATAAACTCGAGTGTTTAACACAAACTAATATTTTTAGAGTTTAATGTATGTTGTGAGTAGAGTTTAATGGTTAACACTACTATTTTTCATAAACTCGAACTTTAAGAATAAAAATTCTATTAGTGAGTAGTGTTTACTGCTTAACGCTAAAATTATCAACACAAACCGAGTGTTTTGCATAAACTCAGTTCTTACTGGGAGTACTTAATGTCGTTCTTCTACATTGATAACAAACTCGAGTTAGTGGGTAGTGTTAAATGGTAAACACGTAAAAAAATTAAGTTGAATACTAAACTCAAAAATAAAAAATAAACTCGAGTTAAGTAAGGCTATATTCAAATATGTCATCAATTAGTTTTTAAAATTTGGAGCAAGTTGAACAAATTAATTAAAAATTACAAATAGTAAAGAGGTCAATTTAAAAGTTTCGAAAATTACATTAATTGTAGTCAAACTCTACCCAACCATTCCAATATATAACATGGAGTATTTCATTTCATTTATTTTTTTTTTTCATGAAATTTAAATAGAAAATTGCATTTAGCACAAATTATTGCTTTTTGGTCGGACAATTGTCCCACGAACCCAAAATATTTACTCCTCTTTTGCTTGCATGCTACACTTCTTGCCACACTGGCTAACCATTACTGCAGCACTATTGCAGACACCTCAAATATTTTAGTTTAACAATAAAAGTTTTCGTTTGAAATCGTAAATTTTGCGCGTCTGTGGCTGGAAAGTGGTTGCCATACAATGTGGACACACAATTAAATGCAGGTGAAATGTGGCATGTAAAAAGCAATTGTATGAGACTGATTATAGCCGAATATACATTTTAATAATTAAAAGAAATATCAATTTTATAGTTTAGTTTTTTAAATTAGAATAAAGCCGGGTTCAGCGCATTTGAGTTTAGAAATTTTTTAAAAATATTTACCATTTTTATTTTATTTTTCACCTCAACCACCCACTAACCCGCTAATATGTGCCGTTAAGCCACATTGCGGATATCATTTTCCTGATTCTCTTGCATATTTAGTTCCCGAAACGCTCAGCGCAAAGTTTATCCATTTAACTGCATTAATTTCATAAAAACTTTTGCGCTATCACTGATAATCCCGCCGATTGCCCAGCAAACCTCAAACAAAAAGCGAAAATCATACAGACATTAAAAGCTAGCGCGCAAGTGTTGTTTTTGTTATTGTTTTTTTAATTTTGTTTACCGTTAGTTGAAGCTGCAACACCGGTGCACTTCATCGAGTCCATTAAACATCATCAACAATACAATGGCATACAACCAACACATGTGGCAGCGGGTGTGACAAAAAAAGGGCAAAAGAACAAAAGCTGCAGTCAACAATTTGCCACATCAACACATGCGCCAAACACACACACACACACGCGCGCAATGTGGCCTGCTGACTTGCTGCCTTGTTGGTGGCCAGTCATAGCTCGCACGTGTTATAGTTATTTTTGTTGTTGTTGTTGCTTTTGTCAACACTTGCTATTTGCAATTGTTGCTGCTTTTGTTGTTATTATTTCACGTCACCTTCAGCGCTTTCGGTAAGCTGAACGACGTGTACGAGAGCGCGCGGAGTCGAGTTGGCACAAGGTCCTTTCATCGTCCATATGTCCTTTCACCTTCGTGCAGGACGAGGCAGCAAAGCAATTGTTTACAGTAAGCAGACCTTTAGCCGCACACAGAGTTTACTTTTCAGCTGGCATGGCGTGCTTGCCACACACAAATGAAAGCACATATGAGTGAGCGTGAAAGGAGTGCAAAGAAAAATGGCAAGAAGTTGGCATAAGGACCAAAGGAGTAGCAGGTTGCCGGCGCACAGCAGTGTTGCAAGTGAGCGCACACACAGCGCAACGACAGTATAAACAAAAGTAGATATCTTTGCATGTGCTATGTAAGTGTGTAGAAAAGTCAATTGCGGGCGTTGTTGCCACAAATGCTATTTAGAGCAATATTTGGTGGCAAGTCGGGGCAGCGTGGCATGTGAGGCAGCTGCACAAATATACACAATATCCATATATTACAAGGATAAGCGCAATGCAGCAAACGTCGGCATGGCTAACACAAACGCCAGTAACATTAACAACAACAACTACACCTGCGCTTGCAAAACATCTTTCAACGTGCGAAATTGCTTGCGCACACGCCTCCTACTACACGAGGACGGCTTGTTGCAAGACACGCAGCAGCAGCTGCTTGCTGTTGTTGTTGTTGTATTTATTTTATTTTTGAATCTAGCAGAAGCAGCACTTCACCTTAAATTTCGAGCTCGTTGATTACTTCTGTCCAAGCTGCTTTCATATCGCTTGCTATCATCACGGTAACAACAAGCGCCGATAAATTGTCGCATCATAGCAATTCTCAAGTCCACAAGTCCATTGATTTAGGCCCGAGTGGCCGAGAGCCGTGGCTTGGTTGCATGAGTTTGGCGTTGCGCCCAAACTATTGTCACACGGCTGAGTGCCCAAAATCAACTCGGTTTGCCACCCCGAGTGGCAGCTATGGTCACAAGCGCGTTTCACTGTGTGGACACCACCTCAATTGGTTGTGGTTCTGGGTATAAGATGGCGGTGTTGGCGCTGGTCAGGCAAGTGTAATAAATTTGCGCACCATAAAATCTTTGCGGAAAAATAAAGTATCCAGCCAGTCAGTCGAGGCAGGCAGCCCGGCGACCAGGCAGCCATCCAATGGCTACTTTGACTTCATTGCAAGAGCGCGCGTGTATCTGTTGTGTGCTTTGTGTGGCAGCAACAACAGTGATGGCAAGAGGTGGCAAGCAAAAAAGATTTTGTCGCCGAGTCAACGCAGCGTAAACTGAAGCAAAAGTTAGTGATGTTCGCAGAGGATTTATGATGCACACGCTGATTCGTTAGCTGGTGTATATGACTGTGTGCCCTTGGGGTTAGTAGGGCCTTTTGGGGGCATGCCAACGTCAACGCGCAGCAAATTGCTTCGAAATGTTTGAAAAAACTATGAAAAAAATTGAAATTTCTGCTGACAGTAAACTTTATTATTTCAAGTTTTTTGATGCATCAATGATTTCTCTTTGACTTTATGTCCATATATTACGTGGACCTGGTTATGTTGGGATAGCCTTAAATATACCTTACTTTAAGCTTAACTAATTGTCACACTTAATTGCAACTTACTGACAACTCATTTTCCTCTTATTGCTTACAGATCACGCCGCGTGTGCAACAAATGCCACAAGCTAGCCACACCAACATAGTTGAGCACTAGCATACACTGCCCGAGCGGTGTAGACATCAAGGTTTACGTGCGAGACACAGTGCGCGCATTTTAATTAACATAAACTCCCCGAAAACGCGGCGACCTGATGACTATGGCAGAAGGCACCGACCCCATGGGGCATCAGGCGGGCTCCCATCACAACCACCATCACACCCATCACAATCATCATAGCCACCAGCACCAGCATCCGCATCATCCGCATCCGCACCAGCACCAGCATCAGCAGCAGCAGCAGCTGCATCAGCGCCAACCGTCGTCACATCCTCATTATGCGCCTTACGCTGCCGCTGCCGCCGCCGCCGCCGCTGCGGCACATATGCAACAGTATCCGTTGCCGCAACATTTGCCATTGGCGCTTAGCTTGCAACAGCAGGCTGCTGCTGCGGCCGCGGTGGCCGCTGAGCATGTGAATAACAATCAGCCTTTTGTGGCCAACAACAATGTGCCGTGGAAGCAGCGTAAGCGGAAACGCTTGTCGGCCGTGTTGGATAAATTGCATAATCACAACAATAACAATAATAATAACAACAATAGCAGTAGTGGTGGCAGCATGCATAATGATGGCGGCGGCGGCAGCAATAACAATAATAACAACAACAATAACAATGTTGGCGAACACGGTAATCACAATCACAGTCATGTGGAGCCGATGGACGGCAATGAGGATGTCGAGAATGAGGCTAATTATAAGCACAACAACAACAACAACAGTAGCAACAATAATGTGTATGCGAAACGTCAAAACTGCGGCAATGATAGCGGGAAAGCATTAACGCGTAATAAGCGCACCATTAGTGAAGTTAGCGGCGATGAGGCTGAGGCCGAAGTTGAGACGGAAGCCGATGTCGATGCGGTGTCTGAAGATTTATCTCTAGAAAACGATAGTCCACGCATCAGCATGAGCCCACTACAGTTGGTCTCGGCAAATGATAGTCCATCCGGTGGTGGTGCGTCACATCTCGCTGTCGCAGCCGCTACAACGACACCCAGCGACAATCCGCTGCATGTCGACATCAAGACTGAGCACATGCATAATCCCTATGACCGTTACTTTCCCATACCGTCGCCGCTCTTTGGCTATTACTTACATACCAAGTATTTGAATGAAGTCTTTCGCCGACGACAGGATCTCTACACATCACCAATGCAGCATACACCTTCGTCGATCGCTTCGTCCATTGCTGATGAGACCTCGCCTACAAGTTTGCCGAACGCTGGCGCTCATCTCGATCATCCGCCGCCATTTCCACCAACCTCCACAGCTACAGCACGTGTTGCAGTCGGCGGTCCTGGGCGTTCACCACCGCCAGCCGTCACCGTTGCACTACCCTCGCCACCACGTAGCGATTCGTCGATGACTGCTGCCGCCACAGCCAACACACGTTGCAGCCCATCGCCGGCTACTCAAGCCAACACTTCGGATCCGGCCATAATGCCGCCGCCACAAGATCGTCCATTGGACTTGTCTGTACGCAGTGGTGGCAACACGCCCACCTATGAGCTGATGGGTGGCAAAAAGTACAAATCGCCCTCGCCTTTACCGGCGACCACACTCATGCTGCCACCGGCGCAGCAACCCGTCTCGGCTACGGTCAGCGCCGCATCCATGTCGCCAAGCCAAAGCACGTTGAAAACGACCACAGCCAATAACAGCAACAATAGCGCTAATCATGCACCATTAGCCAGTTCCCCGGCACCCGTTTCGCCGTACGCAGCAGCTGCTGCTGCTGCACATGCTGCCGCCGCCGCGGCCGCTGCTATGATCAAGCTCGAAATGCCAATGCATCCATTGCATCCGCACGCACCCACCACCACGGTTGGCGTGCCCGTGATCAAGGGTGATGTCGCATCGCCCACCACCAAGGAATCGGTCGCATGGCGTTACAATCTCGACGTTTCACCCGTGGTGGAGGAGATGCCACCCGGTTCAGATGTGGCTTACGTCTGTCCCGTTTGCGGCCAGATGTTTTCGCTGCACGATCGTCTTGCCAAACATATGGCATCGCGTCACAAATCGCGTAATCCTGCCAATGATATCACCAAAGCCTACTCGTGCGAGGTATGTGCGCGCTCCTTCGCACGCTCCGACATGCTGACACGCCACATGCGTCTACATACCGGTGTCAAACCGTACACATGCAAAGTGTGCGGTCAAGTATTCTCACGCTCCGATCATCTGTCTACGCATCAGCGTACACACACTGGCGAGAAGCCCTACAAGTGTCCACAATGTCCGTATGCCGCGTGCCGTCGGGACATGATCACACGCCACATGCGTACACACACGCGTTACGAGACACAACAGCGTGGTGGTGGTGGCACAGCTGGCGGCGTTGGTGAGTTGGGTGGCCCCTCCAAGTCACCACTGCCACTACTGGCCGACATGAAGATGAGCTTGCCAATGCTATTGAAGAGCGAAGAGTTGGCGGGTAAATCACCAATGCACAGCGGTATCGGCGGTTCCATGCCGATCGTGGTGAAAACGGAGAGTGCTTAGTGGAGACTACGACGCGCATATAGAGGCTGCAAGGCGTAGAAGCGCGCAGTTGGCTCTCCCATGGAGGGCTGCTTCGACGAGACTTAACAGAAAGACACTTATATGACACAACGGCAGACGTAAACGTAAGATATGAAATGACAAACTATATAGATTAAGCGTAGAGAGTAGCTAAGGAACGAGTGAGTAGGAAGACGTAAACAAAAAAAGATAAAATTTATATTTTATTTTTCAAAAATCTCTTTGTGAAGACTGAGACTAATTTAAGCGTAACAATATGAATTTACCATAAACAAAAATTTTCATTTTTAAGTAAACATACTGAAATCGAATGCGAGAGTTGCTTCGTACAGGTGCTGGCCGACAAAATTTGGCGAGTTGCCTAACTGGAGTATGAAATGCTGATAATTGTGCGGTGAGCTTGTGATTGCTTTGATGAAATCTGACATTTTTTTTTAAAACTCTAAGCTTAGCGTGCTTTTTAGTAAACACTTTTTTTATGAAAGCTTCTTAGTAAAAGCACTTTATACTAGTGAAAGTTATTTACCATAAAGATCGCTCTTTGATTATTACTGTCACAAACTATTATGAGCTCAACTTCTCTAAAAGCTTTTGACATAAATTCTTGGTTATAGCTTTCATTTGGATACATTGCAATCGTTTCTGGTGAAAGTTTTAATGTTGAAAGCTTTAGCACTTACATTTTTGGGTTTAAAAAGCTTTCTAGTAGCTTTACCTACAAAAGAGTTTTTGACCTACACTATTGTCATAGCGTGTGTTGATTTTTCACAAGCTTTTTTCGATGAAAGCTACAAGCTTTTACCTTTAATTTGTGAAAGCTTTTCGCTTGCATTATTATTGTAACATGTATTGAGTTTTCATGAGTTTTTTTCGATGAAAGTTCTGAGCTTTCACTTCTACATATATCTTTCTCACCCGCTCACTCATTTATCAGCAAATTCGTTATTGTGGCCCAAATTTGGTATGTCATTTCAGTAAATTTTAATACAAAATATAACATTTAAGACAAATGGTTGTGAACAGCAATTCAGCATTGTTAGATATTCTCTGAGCACAAGCATTTTTTCACGATAACTCACTCTCCCTCTCTTTCAATTTCTCTCATGAACACATTCATCGCAAAACAAACAAGCTAGACAATTAAGAGATTATTGACATAGTTACTGTTATAATTTTAAGTTAATTAATCACTTAGTTTATAGTGAAAAGCGGATAATTGGATTTCATTAGTTTTATAATTTGATTTAACGATTTCGTAGTTTGTATGTGAGAAAAATTGAAAAGAAACAAGGCGATTGTAAAACCCACAAATTAATTTTAAGCATAATTTTATTTGAAAATTATTCCCAACTGCATTATAGTAATTTATTCAAGTTCTTTAAGCTGCTTACCTTTAAGTTACAAAATATATTTAATTATTATTTATTACTAGTGGTAAATGAGTATGTACACACACACACACAAACAATTTTGTATTATTATAAAGCGAGATGGCAAATGAAGCGTCAAAAGACAAAGAAAGCGTTCCTCGATCAACCGAATAACGGCGATTACGGCGAGTAAAAGATCGACGACAATGAAATATGAAAACGCCGAACAACAAAAATTGCTAAATTTAATTTAATTAATTAATTTCCACTCGATTTGTTTAATTTATTGCAAAAATTAAATTAAAATTTCGATTCATTTAATGAAATAAGAAAACTTTTTCTTCTGAATTATTACTATTTTCTGTTGTTGTTGTTTTGATTTTTTGTTAAACCAAACAAATGTTAGTAGCCAGTGCTGTTAGGCGGCGAAAATGACACAGGCACACACATACATACACCCTGTTTCAAGCTCTACTACTAATTTTCATTGTTTATTCTTATAATTTTTTTTAAATAAAATATAAAATACTAAACACAATTAATATTTATTTTGTTGCACCAAAAATGTTTATCGTAATTTTAGTTATTTTTACTGTTTCTATTACTTGACTCACTCAAATGTTTTCTATCATGTTTTCTATGAAATCTGTTAAAATGTTTCAAATGTATTGTAGTGTACTTTAGCCAAGTACAGTTAGGCGTTTTGTTTAAGTTTTTCCACACATATTATATAAGTTGTAGCACATACATACACACATATATATTTAGTTTAACATTGCTTACCTACCTGTTAGTTTATGTTAATTTCATTTAATTAATTTTAGTTTTTTTAAGCTGTTATTTATTAAAATTGAATTTAAATTTTCGCATTAAGTTTTGCTTTTAATAATTTATAATATTTGTATGAAGTGAAATAAACTTGGTTATGATTATATTGTAATATGCTTTTGTTTTTTAAATAAATAAAATGAGAAATCAACTTTTGCATTGAAGAAAAAACTGAAACACACATTTATTTTTATTTCAAATACATTTTATTATATGTATGCAGATATTTTTTAAAATTTGATTTGCTTAAAATTGTATTGTTTTCATGAAGTCAGGTGGTACGGTGGGTTATGAAGGACTTATAAATACATACCTATGTATGCTCATTAACCAGCGTTGTACATCAAATCCACATACCACTGCTTTAACGGTACTTTTTCGTAACATATGTATGTGTTTGAGAGTAGACTGCTTTCAAAGTCCTGATCTAACCTAAACAGTTGAGCGCTTAGAACGCAACCCATGTTGGATAATTTTTTCTCTATGCTTTTTCATAGCCTTGATACGCAGCTAAAACAAATCGCTCAACATGGTTACTCTCCATTGTTGTATTGTTGTTTTCTAGCTATTACCATCTGAGCTGAAGGAGAAGTAAAAACATTAACTTCAGCGGCACCGAAACTATTATATTTATATATATATTTATATAGAAAAGGGTATATAAAGATCAGCTAGAAACTATAAGAATCCAATCTGAATACCATATTTGGAGATTGCAGCGATGCCTTGGCTAATAATCTACACCAAATTTCGTGAAGATATACCTTGACAAATAAAACAGTTATCCATACAAGGATTTGAGTTTGATCGTTCAGTTTGTGTATACAAGTATGTTATAGTTGTCCGAAAAATAAGCAGCTTTTAAGTGAGAAAAGAACGTGTTCAAAAATTCAGACCGATATCTCAAAAACTGAGGGGCTAGCACGCGTATATACAGACAGACGGGCATACGGACGCTGCTAAATCGACTCAGCTCGTCACGCTGATCATTTACCTATATATTATATAAAATATAGTTTTTAGGGTCTCCGACGTACCTTTTGGGTGTTACAAACATCGTGGAAAATTTAATATACACCTTGAAGAGAGTATAATTATACAATTAACACGCTTAGTTAAAGCTAGTAATCTTCGTAGGAGCCAGTTTTAAAGAGAAAGGACAAAGGGCTCATTCTTCGGAGCCGCCAATATGGGACTACTATAGCCCAGAGCTGTCATACAAACTGAACAATAATTCCAAAAATTCCAACAACGTTTTAATAAATTACGCTTTTGGCTTCAGTAAGCGGAGCATTTGATACTACTGTTTTGATTGGAAGTACAACAGAGTTCATAGTCTGGAGTGCTAAGAGAATAGAAGTAGAGAGTTATCAAATTATTCTGAAAAGACAATAGTTTAGAGTTTTAAGCAGTTAGCCCTATTTCACGAAGGTTACGTTTACCTCTTTTCGAGAGAATGTTCTCTGGGGAGAGAATCTTGAAGTATTGATCTGAAGTGAAACATTTTTTCATTGAGATCCTTCATTTGGTGATTCTGACCTTATTCAGTGACGCCTTCGAACGTGCCCAATTTCGCCAAACTAAAGGTCAACTCCAAAATATTCAGCAAAAATATAAAAAACAACAACAAAAAAATGTATCATACTAAAAACAAAAACAAAACAAAACACTCTATGCAGAAAACGCGAAAAGTGATAAGGTGCACCAGTGTGATGAACGCAGCACGCGTTCAGATTTATGTCAAATTGCCAGCGCGGCAACAATAAACCTTGCAACAGCCGTGAGGCCATGGTGGCGGAGCCAACTATTCGCTATGATACCGGTATTTTATGTCACTAGGGAGTCGCATAATACATGTTGTTTATGTTGTTGCAGCTGGTGTTGATTTGGCGTTCAGAATGATGCATGTGATGCTGCGGCGCGTCATTGTGTAGCAGTTGCAACAAATGATAGATATGAGTGTGGACACACAAGAGTTATGCTACTGTGGCTGTTGCAACAACGTATTAGTCGTAATGGATGCTAGCCGACACGCGACAATGTGTAACTGCATTTGCCAAAAACAACAATATGTCTATTGCAGTTTTAGTTTCAGACACAATAGACGGTGGATCCCAAGTGCAGCGCTGTAAACGGGGTTTTGCGTATGTTGCTAGTGCAGCCCACTATATTGTTTTGATCTCATGTGACAGCTACCGCATGTATGTACGCGTTTGTGTGTGTGTGCTAACAGCATTTAATCATTGCACCACACAATTGACTAATTTCGCGCTTAAGCGACCGAAAGCATTGTTCTCAAATGCTCTAAACAAGTGATGCGGCAGTTCGTACGGTCACTTGGTTAGGCGGCTAAATGTGCGTTAGTTGCGAAACATTCTTTATCTCATATGTTAGTGGTGGGAAGAGTACTAAATTGGTTAACGAAAGCGTACATATGGGTTTGGTAGCACAGGCATCTTGATTGAGGCACTTTTAGCAGGATAGTCTGAAGTGAATATAGGGATCTCAAATAAGATTTAAAAGTTGTTATGTTTTTAAGATTTGTTTATATGTATATACCTATTTTTAACCAAAGAATATCTTTTCAAGAATATATTTGGAAACACTGTGAAACATATCTTTGAAGATAATTAATTAAGTAATTTCTTCATTACTTCTGCATTCAGCTCTTCTTTATAAAAGTTTACAGTTATTCAAACCTCAAAAAACCGGATCCTTCCACTATATATCAAATACCTTTACTTCTACAGATCCACTTTTATAGCAACTGAAATCAACTTTTTGTTACGACATGTTTAAAAATTTGTACGCCATTATATCACCTTTAAAACCCACAGTGGTCTTGGACAGAACGAGTATTTCTCTTTTTGGTTTGTTTTAATTTTTTTACATAGGATAAAAATCTTAAATTTATAAGCTCCAAGTGGAAGACTTGTAGTGAGCATATTAGTTCAAGGAGTGTGAACTTTTAGACCATCTTATGAGCATTGAGCAGTGATTGTGTACAAATATTGGACTTAATCAGTTCTCAGGATGAATATTGACAGTTGGAGCTTCAATATACAAATACCTTACTTCTCTAGACTAAAAAATTAACTTAATTTTGGAAAGAAAAAGAAGATTATAATTAGAAAAAACTTTTCATCCTTAAACAATTATGTCTTCTCTATAAAACTTTTTAACATTTCGACATAAGTTAGGTTATACGGGTCGGCCGTCAGGCCTTACATAGACATACGAGCTGAAGTTTATGTCATACAGAACGTCAACGCTTTTGACTTGAAATATAATTCTGATATTTCATCCATTCCTTTGAACTACGAAGTTTTTAGATATCTGAGCCCGGACATAGACAAAGGAGGAGTTTCAATATTCCTCTCATGACTACTTCCCTGCAATTACTACATGAGTTCTCACTCTGCCGTCTGTCAAGCCTTATGGAAATTTTATTATATATCATTTTTAGTGACTACCGTATTGTACTGCTTCGCTAGCCAAGCGGGTGGCACTTTTGGCAATCTAATCGAGTATTTTGTTTAGCGAAATGTTCTTATGGTTCTTAGTGTAGATGTTAAAAGTTTCGCTATTGGGTCGTGTGCCCCTGCGCCTTCTACTCTCTTTTAGTGTGATTTGAAAACTTCTCTCTCAGATAAAGCGTCAGGGTATGTGGGGTGTTTTATCCAACGACTCCCGAGGATCTTAGCTTGAAACTGCCATATCAATGTTCCGGCAGAACCTAATCCTAGTTATTGTAATATTGTATTAAATCCAAGAATAGACAATTTGAAGAGTAAATGTCACACTTTGAACTTTATTTGCAAATAAAACTTCAGACTAAAAGTCAGTCTTGAAACATTTTACGAGAAAGCAAAATTTCTAAAAAAAACTCATTAGAATTGAACCTTTTTGTAGAGGTGAAATTGAGAATTGAGATGCTTCTTGACTTAGTAAGGGAAGATAGTTATTTTATATATTCTATATTGATATTAAAAGTGAGTTTATGAGGGCGTGTTTTGGGGTCAACCGATGGAGTCGTCTATATCTCTTTTATATAAACGCATATTTCGCTTAGAATTATTTTCAAGTTATGTTATGGAAAAGTCTATTTAATTTAGGCTTGCCCTAATGTTGGAAAACTTTCCTAAAGCTGAAGTTTAAAATTTCGGTTATAAAAGTTTAAAACCATTAGAGATTTTTTTTTGGAAAAATTTCTTGAACAAATCATGGAACTTATTGATAGCCAAAATGTTTATTTTAGTCTTAAGCTCTTCTATTAATTAAGAGGTGTTTCAGGTACGATAAATGTAATAGAACATGAACTTTAATAGTGGTTCGAAATCACATTACCTCATCTTTTAACCAAATACACAATGAAAAACTCGTAGTAAGCATTTTTCTGGCAACTGTAAGCTTAAAACGGAAATTTAAAGCTTTTTTTTCGAAATTAAAGACTTCCTCTACCCTCTAAAAATCACTTCCGTACTTCCTTCTATGTAGTTCTAAACTTCGAAAACATTAATTTGCATTATTCCAGTCTCACAAAAACACACACACACATACATGCATACTAATTTAGTGCATCAAGTTCGTGAACAGGGTCAAAAATGTGCCGCAAATCTCTGCATTGCAGCTTTTACGCCGCTAACCCGCTAACCCGCTCACACCCCCACCGCGGCCATCAAGTAATTATAAATACAAACAGAGTCAGTCGTCACCGCCATCAACTAAGTAGGCGACCGCAATCGCGCATGCCGTGTCACAGCGTAATTAAGGATTCACCCTCAACTTTGCTTCGCATATGCGCCAATGCCGCCATCCATCGAGCTAGCCGCGCCAACTAACCAGCCAACCACCCACCTAACCAAGCCAAAAACTCACAGTGGCGCATTGTTGTCGCCGCATTCCACCGCACAACGTTGCATTCATATGACTGTGGGGCCCTTTGGCTCAGGCGTGGGAATTTACTTTCGCTTTTCGCCTTTTGCCGCAGTCACTTGTCGTTGCTTAACGATTTCCTGCCTCAATGCACCGCTTACTCTGCTACATTACACTTGCTTATTCATACTCTTTTGTTGAGTAAATTTCTTCAAGCCTTTCGGGCCGCCGCCTGCTTGCGTCACGGTCTCTGTAAGTCTCGAAGGCAGTTAGTTG